CAACAGGTATATTATACTTTTAATGTCTTTGTTTACACTGTGAAAGTGTATTGAAGCGTCAGCACCGCTGGAGCACTTGTGAAGTCAGTGAAGATGAGAGCTGAAGTGAAAGTCCTGATACTCTGCACCACTAAACACGCTCATTATGCTGCCGCTGTGAAGCCGACCTGAAAAAGTTGGTCCAAAGTGTGAGGGAGGAGGACAAAACAGTTGAGGAGCACGTCCTCCTCTCACCCTCTAGCTGTCGTTCTGCGTGGAGTTTACATGTTCGTTCTGTGCACGAGTGGGTTTTTCCTGGGTACTCTAGCTGGATATGGGATATACCAGTAAGTCCAAATCAGAACAAACAGGTAGAAAATAGCTGGGTGGATAATAGCGTAAATGCTGAGTCAGCATTCATTATGTTTTCTGGTTTTTATTTTTCTGTGCGTTTTGTTTTTATTCATACATATGTACACTTTGTGCTATTTTTGCTAATCATATGTTAAAATAGTAATCTCAGTCAGGAAACAGGTGCTTTTATTTATTTATTTATTATGCTTTTCAAAATATTTAACTTTTTCCAGAAATCTTTTCACCATAAAAATACATGTCATTTCATGCCAAGAAAGCACCACAGGCACCATCTTTGGTTCGAGTATGCTGATAGAGAAGAAAGAGGGTCAGAAAGAACTCCATTGTGTCTTTGTGGATTTATAAAAAGCATCTGACAGGGTGCTGATGGAGGAGGTGTGGTATTGCATGTGGAGTAGCATAGAAGTATGTTAGACTGGTACAGGACATGTATGAGGACAGCAGGACAGTGTGCTGTAGGAGTGACGGATAGCTTTAAGGTGGGGGTGGGAGTGCATCCAGTCCTGAGCCCCTTCTTGTTTGCTCTGGTGATGAACCGACTAACAGATGAGGTCAGGCAGGAATCCCACTCATCTATGATGTTCGCAGATGACATTGTGATCAGTGGTGAGAACATGGAACAGGTGGAAGAGAACTTGGAGAGGTGGAGGTATGCACTTGAAAGAAGAGGAATGAAAGTCAGTCGTAGTAAGACAGAGTACATGTGTGTGAATGAGAGGGAGGCAGGTGGAACAGTGAGGCTACAAGGAGCAGAGGTCACAAAGGTGCAGGACTTCAAGTACTTGGGGTCCACTGTCCAGGAAAATGGGGAGGGTGGTAAAGAGGTGAAAGAGAGTCCAGGCAGGATGGAGTGGAAGGAGAAAAGTTTCAGGAGTGATTTGTGACAAAAGGTGTCAGCAAAGGTCAAAGGAAAAGTTTACAAGACAGTGGTGAGACCAGTTGTATGGTCTGGAGACAGTGGCATTATCAAAAAGACAGAGAAAGAACCTGGCAGAAATCAAGATGTTGAGTTTCTCCTTAGGAGTGACAAGAATGGATAAGATTAGGAATGAGATCATCAGAGGAACAGCACAGGTTGAACAACTGGGAGATAAAGTTAGAGAGACCAGACTGAGATGGTTTGGACATGTCCAGAGGAGGGACAGTGGGCATATTGGTAGAAGGATGTTAGAAATGCAGCTGCCAGGAAAAAGACAAAGAGGAGATATATATGGATGTAGTTAGAGATGACATGGAGGTAGTTGGAGTGAGGACAGAGTGAGATGGAGGATGACTCGCTGTGAAGACCCCTGAAGTGGGAAAAGTTGAATGGAGGAAACAAGAAAAGCTACTGGTAATCTGTTCTTTTCTCAGTTTTGCTAAACCTTTGCTTCTTTTAGCTAGAGCTCTGCTCCATTTATGAGAGCATGCATCAGGATATCTGCTCCATTTAGTTTTAACATCTCACTTTAACTTCCTTCAACAGTCATTGAGCATTCAAACTGCGTTTACACAGAAACTGTACTTTCTCTAACTAAGCTACAAGTTCTTCCAAATAACCTGACATTTACAAAACAATGGGGTTTAGTGTCAGCTTTTAAAGCAAAACGTTCACTGTATACAGGACACCGTGTGTGTGATCGTTGCGTCTTGCAGCATTAAAAAAAAAAAAAAAAGTTAAATCTGAAATTTGTCTTTAGAAAAGTGAAGCTGGACTTGCATGTATTTCTTCACAGCCCAGGATGTTAACATTACCGAACGTCCCTCAGTGGTGACTACAGAGACCCGGCTCAGGTTTCTGAAGCCTCGGCTCGAGTGCCAGTTTCACACCTTCGTGCGTCCTGTGATAACGGGCGAGGCATCCAGAGACGAGAGGTGAAAGGGTAACCTGATCCCTCCTGCTGACAGAAACACACAGGCAGAGTATACAACCAGTTGTGTTTGACAAACATACACTGTGTCAGTGGCACAACCAGTCTGAATAAATCATGACACAGCTCCCAGTGCTGTCATGTAGCAGGAAAACTGAACTTCCCTCTGTATCCCACTGCTTCAGATGTTTGCTGTTTTTATTAAACCCTCAAGTTCCTTATTAACTATAGATGTCATATTTGTTTTTAATGTTGATTTGTTTCATGTTTTGTTTTTTTACGTAGAAACCTTGAATGTTACTTCCCTCAGCATTGTTTTTTCAAAATGCACTCCAGATCCTCCTCAGAGGAACTGATTAAAAAGACTTTAGTGTTCCAGGTGATCACAGGAGCCAGATGATTAAAAACCAAATTAGCTTTTCGTCCCAGTGACTCTTGAGTAAGTTGAAGCCTATCAAGTGCAAACAAGTTTCAAATGATCATCTGGTTAAATGAGTCAAGAGTCACTGAGACGTCTTCAAAAAAACTGTTGCTTTTACTTGTGAGCTGCTGAAACTGATATTTAATCTGTACGGAGAGCAGTTGTCAACAAAATGCACAATCAAAAACAAGAGTGATAAAAATACTTGAAAAGCCTAAATATTTAGATGGTAAAGTGACAATTCAAATCTTTTACAGTGGGTTTCTATAGAAAGGTTATGAACAGCTAATATCTTACCGGTTGTAGAAAGCTCTTTCCTGTAGCGCTTCATGTGAACACCATTTTGTAAACCTATAAAGAAGCTCAGTATCCCATTACTTGGTTATTTACATTGAATTCTATGGTTAGTTCCGAGAACAACAACAGTAGCAGCTAGCTGTAGCGCTTCTGGTGCAGTTTAGGACATTTAAACAGGAACCATAAAACAGGGCTGTCAAACTCACTTACAAAAGGGGGTCAAAATTAAAACCTTTTTCAAACTAAGGGCCAATTTCAGAATCTACATGAACTCAAATCGGATACCCAGCATCTTTTCTTGGTCACAGTTTCCTCAGCAAGAGTTTGATTGGTCTCATTTGATGTCCTCTGTTGCGCTTTTGACATCATAATCAAAGATTACTGAGAAAATTCAAGAGATAGAAGTATTTTACGTTTAAAATAACATCTTGGGGGCCAGATAAGATGTCGACCAGGGCCACATTTGGCCCCCGGGCCTGGAGTTTGACACATGCCATAAAACGTCTGCTGCAATATCTGTGGAATTATAAAAATGACAGCAATGCAAAGGTGTAGGAAATAACATTTGCATAAAGCGCAGTGATATTTTTGAGAATGAGTCATTTTAAGACTTAACAATCCACTTTAGTATTTACCTTGGTCCGACTACGTGTGAACTCAGTATTCCAGGTAAAACAATCATCTTTTCTACAGAACCGCACTTCAAACCATCGTAACTTTCTCTTTAGATGGTGTGGGAATAAAATGTTTTTATACGTCTCGAGTTTTCCCGACTACTCATAAAACTTTGTATTTGCACTATCATCATCTCTTAAAATCATAAATTGTGTAAAACAATAGCGTTTCATAGGTTGTAAAACACCTGGCGTTCTAGTCCTGTGTGTGTTTATTCTGCAAAATAATCTGAGGGTGTGGAAGAGATGGTTTTCTTCTTTGAAACCTGAGAGTCAAAGACGAAACAATTTTTGTTACATCTGTTGTTTTATCCTGACTTGTAGGAAGAAGGGTGGAGTTACTGTAGATATTACAAGTGTGACAAACACTTTATAATGTCACGGTGTACAACCCAGTCTGTATACTGCATATAATGTTGGTGGCAATTTAAAAGGTTACTTTTACACAAAAGCTGCAGATTTTACTTTCATCCTCTGTGAAGTCATCAGTTCTGATTCTGCAGCCGTTTCTTTTTCTGTTACTTCTTGCTCCTTCAGTCACACTTTGGGATATTTAGCGATGAAAATGTATCAAACAGGTTGTCTACTTTTTTGGTGCATATATTGCAAAAAATATTAACAGATTGTAAAACTGTTCATACCTGACATCAACACGATCCTACTGCAGGTAGACAGCTTTTATTGAGAACATCTAGCTCTCTAGCAGGAAAACGTGCATCCCCATTTGTTTTTCCTGGTAGATGTCAATTACCCGCTCTGCATTCAGATACATGTGCAGCCACATCACACCGCCGGCTGCCAGATCATAAAAGTCCACGATGTGCTCAGCTGCCTTCTACACAACTGTGAACAAAACTTCAACCATGTTGTTAATTAGCAGGGGCGCCACGGAGGGCGGGTAGGTATGGCCACCTCTAAACAATCTGTGTCCCCACCTCCTAACTGGCAACCTTGACAGTTTTATCCTCGTGAGTGAGTCCCAAGCTTTTGCTTGATATGCTTTTTTAATTTCCCCCAGTCAAAAAGGAAAATGTATCCTGTGATGGTGGTTTAATCCTTTTCATTCAGCCGGCAACTGAAGCGGACTTGTTATTTTTATCCAGAGTCATCAAGGTAATAACTCTACTGTTCGGGCCTACAGCAAAGGATCAGTACGGATCAGACTACCAAACGTGTGCAGATCCAAGAGGTCCAGACCACCTGGGATGGTGGTTTGAGTGAAGATATGTTTATTCCACATTGAGGCCATTCACACATGTATTTAGCACCATGTGAATGCTGTCCGATTACTAAGATGAACTCTTTATTTGTGAGGTATAGAGTTCATAGTTCTCTTGATAGCCGATTTCTTAGCGTGTCTGGTAGACTGTATGGTTCTCATAATCTGTGTTTGTTTTTGTGCAGAGAGCCTGATATCCCTGCTTGGGCTCCTTTACTCTACCAGCTGCAGCTGCTGGACGTCAGAGAGAAACCAGACCCGTTAACTCTGCCCATCGCTGACCGCATCCGCATCGGCAACCAGAAGCGAGAGCGTGGAAACTTTCACTACCAGCGGGAGGAATACAGCCTGGCTGCCAAAGCTTACTGCGTGGCCCTGGAGGTGCTAACCACATGTGGCACAGGTACGCATCAAAGACGGGGACTCCTTCATCGGAAATGCCGTTGGTTCTAACAGGAATGTGTTAAAACAGGGATAAACAAACAGCAGGCACACCACCACCTCTGATCCGAGCATCAGCGACATCACTGACTCTACAGTAGAATGACAGCACAAGTGCTCTCCTCCACTCCACTAATCACAGCGTCTCAATGCAGAGCCACATCGGTCTGTGTCGCCACCCTAACCTAATGTTGCTGCTTAATTCATTTTGCATAATCAGGGCCAACCACCTCTCCTACTATTCCCACCTTCTTAATCACACTAATCACAGACGAGGCAGAAAAAGCCCGAGAGAGAAACGAGGCTGAACGAGACCATGAGGGACGAACATGAACTGGTTTCTAATGAATCAATGGTGGCTGAGCAGCGGGTGAATCCAGCGTGGCACTGAAGAGTGGAGTTTATTAAAGCATCCAGATCAGGTTATTAGTCAGTGGGAACATACATATAGAAGCATCTTGGTTCTTAGAACTTGCAGGTCATCCGAGTTCTTTTGCAAGCACAATTCGCAACACGTGTTCTGCAATCTAACATGCACTCACATGTCACAGTCAGCTTGTTAGTGCCAATACAAATGGCCTTGTCAATAAAAACAGGTGAATTTTAGTAGAGAATGAACTTTGCTCAGATGGACAAACAACAGCATTAAAACACAGAAAGGTTGTACCTCAGTCAGTTTCACAGATATTGACCTTAACTTTGGTGTGGTTGGAGCTGAGAGACATCCCAAACACTAGACTAAATGTAGCACAGGCACAGTAAACAATTGTAGTAAAACCACTGATGCAGAGGTGCATGTTGGAAATGTGGAGACATTTGCAACCAAAATGACACATTTTTCCCCAAGTACAGTTTGAAAATCACCGTTCATTCAACTCCAGCTGCTTCAGTGTTTGACCTGCCTGCAGTCCTCTGTCTTCTCGTGAATGTGCGATGAACTTTTGATGTGCTTTAATAGCATTTTTGAGTTGCTACAATAAAACTTTATATATTAAATTACAATGCACCTGGTCAAAAATGACATTGGCAACCATCTTATTTTCAAAGTGATTGTCTGTTGGCAGCCGCTGAGTTAATCCTTGAATCATTCTAAAGTTTCTGAACCTGTTCCAGATCTGATTTATGCAAGTCCTGACAAACCTTAATCTCCATTTTCTCACGTCTGCACTGAAAGTCGTTGACTCGGCCTTCCGTTTAGCAGGACGTGTGTGACGAGCCGTGCAACCGTATCCTTTCAGATGGCGGCTACGTTGGCGTGGGAGCAGAGAAGGAAGAGGTGCGGGAGTACCGGGTGAAGTGTTTGAACAACCTGGCCACCGCTCAGCTCAAACTGGAACAGTTTGACGAGGCGCTGCACACCAGCCGGGACGTCCTGACCCTCGAGCCAAACAACGTCAAGGCTCTGTTCAGGACGGGAAAGGTCAGAGACCTGAACCGTGCCGTTTTACACTGTGTGTGTGTGTTCGGGGGGGGGGGGGGGGAACAACACAAAGACCTCCAGTTTACGTTTTGCTTTTATTAATGGCAAGAAATGTAATATTGTATTTGAAAAACAACACTAGTAATATATTTTAAAACATAACTGCTGTATTGAAGATATTTTAAATATTGAACAAGTATCAAAGTTCATGCTCAATAGTCCAAGTAAAAATCCAACAGTGTTCAGTCAGGTCATCTGGATGGTTTTTTTTTTTTTT